TTTCGATTCCGGCGACCGACAGCTTCTTACGGGCGACCCCCAAACATAAACTCTTTTCCCTTTTTAAGCGCCGACATGGATGACGTGCGACAATACTGGAACAACAACAAAACAGTAAAGGGAAGGCATTGTGGGTTGCGGCAGTAAAGGTGGAGGGCTTGGACAGCGAGGACAACAAAACGGGACGCCAGGACAGCGGTTGGGAAGGGAGAATTGCAGTAAAACAGCAACGGTAGCTGGTCTGGGGTGGCTGCAGCAGGGAAGTGCGACATGGAGCAGTGGGGAGCGGTGTGGGAAAAGGATGGAAGGGTTGGAAGGCAGAAACTACAGGAAAACAGCCAAGCAGGGTTGTTTCCGGGCGACAGCAGCAGGCACAGTGATGCCGGCAGTGGAGGAGAGGATGTGAGGGGAGGAGAAAATCGAGGATAATCATCACCTCAGAACAAAATGCAGCCGGAGCACCACTTGCCCTTGGATACAACCCTAGAAGGGAAAACTTTGATGTCAATAATTACCCGGATAGAAAGCACAAGCCAAACTCTAATCTAAATTTTAATACAACACTTATATAGGAAAAGGACTAGAAAGGAATGAAAGGAAAGGACGAAACTCGCTAAAAGTTGGAAAAGAATCGAAAAAGAGCTACTCAGTTCGGCTCTCTGTGAACCGGCGCACGCGAGTTCGACTCCTGTAACAGGAGACACCCACGTCATACTTATCCAAGATTTATGTGGGACAGAAATGCCTTTTATTGAAAGCTTTCTTGAACTATTGAAGCAAGATTGTAGACACTTTGCCTTCCCAATTGAAGGAAAACCATACCCTTGAGAATAATGGAGGAATTGACGAAAACTTCGCACTTTGAGATTTGTAACGGAGATATCTGAGTTAGAACTTCAAATCAAGTTGAGGCTTTGAGATTAGTGTTATTCTCTTGATAATGATCGAAGGATAACTATGCATCTTAACGTAACTCATAATATAGATTTAGATGGGTTACTGTCTTGAAACTGCCGCTATTACAAAAATGACTATGGAAGCATAAATCTTGATGTTCATGATCATTAAGCAAGGTTAATTAAAAACAAAATTTATTATGAAATATATCATATAATAACATATGCATATGAGCATATTGTCATAATAATTCTATACAATTTTGAAATTATTTGACTATCAAATATATGCATTCTTCATTTTTTTTTCTATATACCAATGTATTGTTGTTGAATTAGTAGGCAAAGATCAATAGCTGGATTTGAGAACTGAATCATAACAAAGATCCTAGCTCAATCGCTTTAGCCACCTCATAAGTTCTGATCTTGTTCTTGAAATAACGCTAGAGACTAAGGCATTTATTTCAATCAGGGAAAAACTAGCCAGATCAAATCAAATGCACACCTCTCAATCGACATGAAAGATGGAAATGTGCTTAATCTTCAAAGCATAATATTTAATATTGAAATCAATTTTGATTTACAAAAAAATTATTTTTATTTGACTTTCCACATAAATAATCAAATTAAATAATGAATTATGCATATTTTATGTTATATTATATGCATTTTACATGTTTTGCAGATTTTAAATAGGCTCAAGCTATCAAAATCTCATACATGCTATATAGAAAGACAAAAGATAGAAAGTTTCTATCTAAAACAGATAATGCTGAGAGAATTTTATTGTAAACTGAAGCTATCTCAAAAATATTAAATTATTACGGTAGAAAAGCAATTGGAACGATATAATAGATGAGAACACCATATTATGGCAAAACATAAAAAGAAACTCCCGTCATAGCATGTTACTCTCTCTAGTCAAATTATTTATTATTATAAACTTTCTTCCATCACTCCTCTTTCTCCTTTTATCCACGTTAAATTACGTATAAATATAAATTTATACAGCATAAATATAAATTTATACAGCTATAAAAAAATCGTTATTAACTTAAGTACAGAAATAAATTAAGCCGCAATTAGAGAGAAAATTTCCTCTTACTCAAGAGTTAAGCGGATAGCTCTATTTGGATATTTTTTTTAAATTTAAGTTTTCTATTTTTATGTCAGGATTAGGAGAATGGTTCATTATGAAACAATTTTAAGGTTTTATCACTTCGGTGTTCTAAATGAGAAATAAATTTTTTAACATAAGCATTACTTTAAGTTCAAGTTTTTTTAACTAATTATATCCATAAAATGAAAAAAAATGGAAAGAAATTTTGCTCTTTTTTAGAAGACATGAGTCACATCCCTCATGATGGGGAATTGAATTGAACGTGTTAGACATGGACTCATGAATACATCGAAATTTTGCTTTAAACAGTTGAATCTTTCAATTAAAAAATAAATATTTTCTAGCATAGATAGAATAGCTAGCATGGACAGCACTACTTCATGAATTACTGCATCTTAAAAGCTTACAATAATGAAAAACGTTATATTTCTTTATGAACAACACTTCTCAATTGCCTCAAGAACCCCCACGGTCTTGTGATGCTAACTGTTTAGTAAGTAAAGATACATTGTGACAAAAAGAATTTGCAACCAGTTAGCATGAGTTTATTGGATGATGGTCGAAATAAACTTAAAAAGCATTTTTCTTTATTTTTTCGCCTGCACATTTTTCTACTTACGTTTTCTCCAAGGCAATGGGGTGTGGTTGCTGGAGTATTAGTATTATATTCAAAGTTTATCTTCCTCTTTTTCTCCTAAATCTACATCAACAGTCTAACTTACATATGAAATTTTAGAATGGTCTAGTTTGTCCATTACTCCATTCTAGACGTGTGTTTCAAAGAGAGATGGGACTCCATTGAATCCTCATCCTAAACATCAATCCAAATTGAATTAAGCATAAATTTTAAGGCAACCTTGTCATCAGTGCTGCGGCAAAGATTTAGAGACATGAATATCCATAGAAATATTGAGTTCGGCCCTAAAAAATGAAGCAGCCACTACTCTCATATTGATAGGCAAAAAATTCCACAAGTACTTTCTTCATGATCATGTGGCATGATCATGAATCCTGCACTGGGCTAGGATTTAGTTTTGTTTCCCGCACAAAATATAATTGCAAAACAGTTCTTGAAAACCAAAACAGAAGCAATGCATAACCGAGGCAAGCGTAGACTTCTGCACACAACTCATCTCCTACAATACACTACAGCTTGATAGCAAGTTTCATGTAATGCCTCCCTCTGTCCAAGGTATTTTTGTAATTAAGTGAAATAATTTTTGGCAAATCTAGTTCTGGCTTGTTATCTGAAAGAGAAATTTGATTTCTGGATTCCTATTGTACCTTTTTGTTTGTAGAGCAGCAAAATTTCATATATAAAACTAAGGCAGAGTGAATAACAATTTGCATAACTTCTCTAACAATAGTTAATCATCTCAATTTTTTGTCAGAATTTTACATGTCAGAATACTGAGTTATGATGAGAGGAATTTTTTTTTTTTTTAAAGGGTGGCAAGCAAAGCTGTAAAAGAGAGATGAGTACCAAAAGGGTGGCAAGCAAAGCTGCTGTAAAAGAGAGATGAGTACCACAAGAATCGTCGAAATTAGAGTAAAGAATCTTTTAAGTCATTCAATTAAGAATGATATGTTATGGATTGGAAGAAGAAAAACTGATCCCAAGAATGAACCAAGCAACATACCGCTACTTTGAGGACCCATTATAGAGACGACAGCATATGAGAGTCCACATTCACTGAGCTTCACAGCTTTCGCAAATTCCTCTATTCCGGAGACGCTAAATACACCGTCTCCATCAATTAGTTGGGTAGGACAACTAGTATCCCCCATATCTGTAAAAAACAATACACGAGTACATTAAGTATAAATTCACTTGCTTCTTTTTCATTTTCCATTATCTATATCCCAAAAGTTGACTTAATGTCCCTAGAGTGTGATACATAACAACACATTAAATTGGATAACTGAAACTGACGGCATAAACTTCTCAATAAAAAAATCAAACAACAGTTCCTACTGACGGCATAAACTTCTCAATAAAAAAATCAAACAACAGTTCCTACTAGACCCATTAAAGACTATGAAGCCACGACAAATAAGAAACAGGTTATTTTTTAGTGACTGCAAAATATAGCAACTGATCCATACAGGTTAAGTGCTGATCAAACAAACAAAAAAAAAACAGCAGCAACCCTACGCAGAACAATGGAAATCAAAATATAAGCATAATGTCTCGGAAACTAGATGGAAGAAAAGTAAAAGTTTGAGAGAAAGAGAAGAGAGGGAAAAACTCCAGCAGAAAACAGATAAAAGCAGTGCAACAATATTACCTGGATGATCAAATGAAATTCATTCAAAGCATAAAATTAGTCATAGCCACGACATTTTCTTTATCAATATATGCACCGGGAAATGAATATAAAATCTTAAATCACACCGTTAACAACGGAAATTTAGTAGACAACACTGCATAAAAATAAGGAAAGAACAAAGTAACAACAAAAAACACATTTCATAAATTAATATATATGTTATCCAGGACTAATAATATGTATACCGTGCCTAAGTATTAAGTCTCTCTATTTATAATAGTACAAGTAATGCTGACCTGCAAATTGGTGCTCACCAAATATAAAAACATGTCAATAAAGCTCTGAAACATTTATCTACTTTTCGTAGTCTAGATATGACATGAGAGTTTCAATATTAAATCTCAACGAGTTCAGAGATACTATGAATATAGAATAAACAGAAAAAATATGAAAAGTGCATATAATGTACCAGGAAGAAAACCCCTCAAACCAAAATAAGAAGACGCCATAAATTATTGTATTCTAATGAAATAGAACAGCTTCACAGGTAATGAGCACGTTGAAACAACATCTTAAGCTAAATTGATATAACAAGTTATTTTGGATTATTCAATAGCAACAGAATCAACTAATTTGCAAGTACAGAGAATCTTCATGTAACTACAACTTTCTCCATCAAAACCATGTACAAAAATATTTCAGAACATAGCCAAAACACAAATTATAACTTTATGGATGATTATACCATATTGCCTAAAGGAGGATTCACTTCTATCTTCTTATAAGTCAGAACTAGCAACTCCTCTCAAGGCTTACTAATTCAGGACGTCTTAAGAGTTTGGATTTATTAAAAGAAATGTAGGCTAGAATGCACAAAATAAGCATATAAAAGATCAAATTTTGCTTCAAATGAAATTAAGTATCATCAAAAATCTAAAAGGGTTTCAGAAGGCATGTACACCGGCCAGTTCGTGTACTGCGGCCGTAAGGCTTCTCTCATGATTGGAAACGTTTTACCCCTCCGCTCCATCCCGGAGGATGCCGTTGTATGCAAAGTTGAGCACCATGTTTGCAATCGCAGTGTGCTCGCGAGGGCTTTGGGAGACTACACTATCGTTATCAGCCATAACCATGATAACGGGACTTCTAGAATCAAGCTCCCAACTAGCGCTAAGAAGATAGTTCCCAGTGGATGTCGAGCCATGATTGGCTAGGTCGCCGATGGTGGCAGAACGGAGAACTTTCTCCTCAAAGCCGGCAATGCTTACCACAAGTACAGGGAGAAGCGTAACTGCTGGCTGAAGGCCCGCGGTGTTGCCATGAACTTGTGGAGCATCCCCATGGAGAAAACCACTAGCATATCGACCATGCAATCAACCGTTCGCCACGATGCTCCGCCCGGGCAAAAGGTCGGTCACATCACTGCCACGAGAACAGGTCGCCTCCGAGGACAAGTTGTCGCCACTGCCGCCAAGGTCGAAAAGGGTTCCTAGTTTCCCAGGATTCTCCTTCTCCGAGATCTTTTAGAAAATCGGGGGATCTTACTTCACTTCTATACACGGCACACAAGAAACCATGATAGCAAAGATTCTTTGGAGTTTGGCCAGACATCACCACAAACCCAAAAAAAAAAAAACTTCCTACGTTGTATCCTCCTATGCCGACACCAGCGATGGGACTCCAGCCAGGGTGACACCAGCGATGCCGCCACCTGCCTGATCATCATCTCGTCGGAGATATCGCTGTTGTGGATCGAGCAATGCTGACAAAATCCATCGTATGTCCTTCCTCCTGCAGTATTTTTTTCTTCCCTGCCAAAGCGTCAAGGGGAGCTACATTTTCAGCTGGTCATTTCTCCTGCAGTATTTTTTTCTTACCTGCCAAAGCGCCAGGGGGAGTTGCATTTCCAGCCTGGCATTTCTCCTGCAGTATTTTTTTTTCTTGCCCAAACGTCAGGAGGAGCTGCTTTTCCAGCCGGTCATTTCTCCTGCAGTATTTTTTTTTCTTCCCTGACCCAAGCGTCAGAGGATCTCTGCTTCCAGCCGCCCTATCTTCTGTTGTTTTTTCTGTCAGCAGAATTTACTGTGTAATTTACATGTTTTTTTTCTGCAGCCAACGACAACCGCGGTCAACTAAAAGTCAGTTTTCCTGTAGGTTGTCTCTTTCCCAGACAAAACTCAAAATTCAGCCAAGCATGCATCCAGCAAATTCAGCCAAGCCTGAATCCTTCTTATACGCCGAAACATATAACAGACAAAACTCAAAATTCAGTCAAGTCTGAATCCATTTGAAAGACAAAACTCAAAATTCAGTCAAGCTTGAATCCAGCAAATTCAGCCAAGTCTGAATCTCTCTTCTACGTCGAAACATATGGCAGACAAAACTCAAAATCCAACCAAGCCTGAATCTAGTAAATTCAGTCAAGCCTGAATCTCTATTATATGTCGAAACATATGGCAGACAAACCTCAAAATTCAGTCAAGTCTGAATCTAGCAAATTCAATAATTCAAATGACCAAATTTTTTTCATTACTCAATAAGTTATGAATTATTAACATGCATTCCAAACTTGCGGGAGAGTGTTAAAAATTATAATAAAAAATAATTTATTCCTATAAGAATTATGAGGAATAAATTATTTTCTTAATAGAAGGAGATATTTCTTTTCTTATTTTATAATTATTTCCTTTGATTATGAATTATTTGTTTTTTTATTTTATGTTATTTCTTATATCTCCTAATAATTAATATGAATTCAATTATTTGTTTTTTTATTTTATGTTATTTCTTATATCTCCTAATAATTAATATGAATTCATTATTGGAGATATCAGGTGATATATCTTTCATTTCATATCATTTCCTTTTTATTATTTTTCTTATTATAGGATTTTTATAAGGATTTTTATACTTCTGTTCATATCAATAAAATAATAAAGTATTCTGCATTATTCTAAATTTCAATATAAGAAGTTAGGAATACCTTTTTAGTTGCACACTTATATTAAAAAGAATCCTCAAGTAAGGGTTGCTATGAAGTGTGCCATCCAAAAGGTTACTTCCTGCGCTACCTTACCAATAATTAGAGGATTTATATACAGCCCACTCAATTCTTATGTGTCTATATATATTTCGCACTTAAACTTTCATATTTACATACATAGTATTAAAATTTCAATATCATATCAAAATGTCATTGTTCTTTTTAGTTTTAAATGAAATACATTTTTTATTTATGGGTTGAAAATGTTGAAGTGCATCGTATGTAAATATAAAAATTTAATTTAGTGGGACTACAATATTTAATTGAAACCAAGAACCATAAATCAGATAAAGTCTTTAAAAATATAATAATGTAAGGATATACTTGCATTTCTCGTAAAAGGTTGTGCAACAAACTAACTCGATCACTTTTGCAATTCCCAATAGGTCATAGTAAAAAAAAGTAGGCAGCAAACAATCAGAGAAAACCATTAAATTAAGTTAATCGAAAAAGTAATGCATCACACATTCTAAATAAAACAGTTGATCCGAACATAAGAATAAAACCATTGTGAAAACCCATTTCTCAATAGATGCTTGGTATAATTATTTTGAGGCAACCTAAATGATGATGCTGCACTCAAAATATATTCATCAGAAATCTGAGAGAATGAGAGAATTCACTTTCCAGTATAGTGATTGCATCTGCAAAAGTCTTGATGTATTGATGGAATAGCCTCATAATTGAAAGAAGTAGGTCTTTGGATGAGAACTTGGATTAGGCAACATTTAATCAATAGAATATAAATAAATGGATAGATTATTAACTTGATTTCAAGATAGAGGATCAGAAAACGTGGTAGCCAGAATGATGAATCACAAAAATCCATATATTATCAGTATTGTAGAAACGAGCAAGACTAATTATATTTCTTGATATCGTTTCAACGAAGTAAACTTCGAAGAAAGAAGATTCAAGAGGGACTTGAATGCTTTCTTGCTTTTCTAGCCTAGGGTTCTTGCAAATTTTGAAATAGGAAAATAGGGTATTGAATCCCCAACCAAAGCATGCGATCTACTGATGGAGATTTTAAAAATAGAAAACAATCACATGCGCTGAAAGACTTTGGATTACCTGATCGTTGTTGTTCTTACTTCAAATGAAGGAGAAGAAATGCTTATGCTGCAGATTAATCGGATGACAGGAGGAAAAATCCCGAGTTTATGAGGGGAGAGCTTCGGCTATAGAGAGAAATATACCTTGATGGCGGGAACCGGCGAGCAGATCGGCGGCGAGGAGCGCCGACGGCGGGAACCCGCGAGCAGATCGGCGGCGGAGGATATATATATAGCCGGAGAGGGAGAGAAGGGTTCGGCTAGGGCTTGAAGAAAAGAAAAGGGGCCGGTCGAGAGAGCAGGAAGGAGGAAGTGCCGGGAGAGAGGATGCGTGAGCTGGTGATTCGCCGAATGGGAAAGGCGAGGCTGGGAGGTGTGAGTGCGGGTTTTCTTTTTTACAAAGAGTTTTCTTTTTTCTTTAATTAAATTTGTTTAAATATCATTATTTAACTAAAATTCGGTAATTCACACACAATTTGGTATCGCTCGGAATTCCATCAATATGAACATCTTTTAGAGGTAAATTTGATGTTTTTGATGCGCTCGTGTGATTCATTTTGTTATCTAGGGTCGTCCGGACAAATTCGCCGACGATTGTATCAATTTAACTCTGATTCGGGTGATGTGGCAAATGAAGACTTTTGGTCCAACTGGAGTCATTCAACAAGCAGAATGCTAATCGGATATTGACTAAGCAACAATCAAAGTAAAACAAAATGCTTTCGGCAGCGAGCCGCTCGTCACTTTATGGGGTTTTCCTATGGCTTTTACAATTCCTATGAGCACTCGACTTAGAGTTTTTATTTGTTGGTTTTAATCAACCCAACTTAACATCAAAGATTTGCAACCACCCATTTGAAACTACAAGGAGTCAATAGGAGGTTTGAATTTCTAAATAATGTAAGTCCCAATATTATTCCTCTAGGAGAGTCAAACAAGAAATCCTAAGGCTGGTTCCTAGGCTTTGAATGAAGGTAAGACCTCAAAATTGAGGTCAACAGCTTTATCGGCTCTGGAAATTTGAATTCTAGCTTCTTTATTAGGTTGTAGAACAACTTACCTGCTGACTCGTTCTTGAAGGAATATACCCTGTTCAACTGTTCTGCCATTATCAAAATTGGTCTTCTGTCTGGTTGATAAGGACTCTACTGAAATGATTGTTGATTGTAATGTTGAGGATGCTGGTAAGGTTGTTGAGGTTGTTCAACTTGTATCTGCATTGATTATTTGTATTTCTCTACTAACACTACTATCTCATACCTCTTATTGAATGTCTTTATTGGTTTCGGTTTCTCAATCTTTTCCAGAAATCTGAGTTGTTTTGTCTCTTCTTAAAGACTTCCAGCTTTGCTAAACAACTTTTTAAAGGTTTTGATCATGAATCCCTTAAGTAGAAAAGTCATTGGTCTGCGAATATTCTTCAGTAGGATCTTGGATGTGTGTTGTTTTTAGAGCGGTGGCTCGCATTTCATGCTTAAATTTCTCCATCACAGAATGTATTCCACCAAAGTTTTTATTGGCTTTTGTTGCTCTACCACAAGATAACCTACTGTGATGTGGTGTTAAGCGCCAACAAACCTCTTAACAAACAGGCTTTCTAACTCTGTGAATGTCTTTATCAAGTTGTTGGGTAGCTTTGCATATCAGTCAAAAGTAACTCCTGAAAAACTGCTGACGTACTAATAGAACAACAATGCTTTGCTACCCTCGCATTGCAGCAACTTGCTCCAAAGTGTGAAACATGATGTTGGGGATTATCGGTTCCATCAAAGGTCCTGAATAGCGGTGGTACAAAGCCCTTGGAATATTGTACTGCATTAAACTCTTCTGGATAAGGTTTACCCTTCAGAACCAATGTTCATTTCTTCGACTGAGCCTAGGTTTCTCTCACCCATTGCTCGACCATCTGCTTGATATCTTTCTTTAGCACCAAATTTTGTGTGTAGTCTCTTTTCGGTTTTTCTTCTTTACTAGTGGGAGTGAACTCCTTCTCATCCTCTATATATAGAATTTTTGGTTGATTTGCTTCCATGGGAACTGTTTATGGGGAGGTTGGCTTTGTAGAGTATTCATGACAGTCATCATCTCTTCCATCCTACTTTTTATGTGGTTGATATGTCTGTCCCTCTATTGAACGACTCTCTGTAACGTCTCTGCGGTGTTCTCCTCAGCAGGTGACAGAGCATCGCGCAAAGATGACGAGGCGCTGGTCTCAACAACGTTGAATTTAGCAAAGTCATCTTCCATATAATATATTAAGTCATAATTTTCATCATCGATGTTTTCTCCCTACTTTTCGTATAGTTGTGTAATGTCGACTCTGAGCTTTTCCAAGCCCAACTCGATTGACTTTCCCTTCACAACTTTAAAATCGGCTCGAAGTTATCGTTGAGTGCCTTCTACCAAGGTAGTCTTTAATGTGGTACCGGTAGTCGGAGCATCAGGCTTAGAATCCTCTCTGGAGATCTCATTTTTTTACTTTTACAGAAGTATCGACCCAGTGACTTTAGGTCCCCAAACTTCCTTCTTAGATGTTGACATTTTAAGAGGGAGTGTCTTGTTGGCGACATTAACATGTCAGAAGGAAGTACACTCCCTATCACGTGAACCAGATACACTGCTAAGTGATTTCTCATCCTCATCCGGTGTTGGGGCTTTCTTGTTTGCGGTGGCAGACATATTTCTTGGCCTGAGACGAGACTTAACTAGTATACAACGCATAAATTTTGAGACAGTGGTACCAGCACGGGTGATAGTAGCAACAAGCGCAATATAGCCTCCTAGCCAGAGCTTTGTAGAAATGAGGGGCGACAGTACTTCTTCCGCTTTCTTGATGGGTTTACGAGATTGCAAAGTGGATTTGTTTTCTTCCAATATCTATTTCTTCATCCATTATTTTCAAGATTTTGGCAACTAAACAACTTTCCTTGCAAGCTAGCCTCTCAAAAATGGAATGGGCTTGAGTAAGGGGAGTAGACTTCGCCTTTGCTTTACTAGACCATGTTGAGTGGGTGATTGAGGCGGTGTGGCAGCAATCTTGTAGGCGTTCTCCTCTCTGAAAGCAGCATACAAGGGATGAAACCTTCATCCTCTTAGGAGACGTGTGGTCTCATGTGATTCCAATCACCTCGTTAGTTCCCATTCACATTCCTTTAAGGGCCTTTCGGTCCCTATTCCTCCTTTGTGTCCAGGTCAATGGCATAACCCTCAAACTTGATCCAACCTCAAACACAAATGACATTGGGGTGAAAGCATATGTTGTCTCATACAAAATTTTCTTTCCTTTGAACAGTACGAATATAGCAGGCACAGTGACAATGAATTAGGTGACAATAGAAGTAACAGCTTTGAGGACACAGAAATGGCAGTCCTAGCAGGAATCGTCTCAACCCTCGCTTTCTTAAGAGAAGGGAACTCCTGAATACACTTTAGGTCAAAGTCAGAAGATTATTCTTGAACTTTTGGAGCACCTATTTTCATTATGACATAAGATGCTTTGCCAAGTACAACCTCAACTTTGTCAAATTCGGACCCAAACTTGATTGATGATCCTAAGTAGCAAGCACTCTTGTTAGTGGGAAAGTCTAACCCTCTGGTGAATGAGAAAATTAGCTCTGGGGACGACATTGTTCCTGTCAGTTGAAAACTCTTGAGCGTCAGTGGTGTTCTACGCCCTTTCCCTAGGTGTAACAACTTTAGTACAAATACTGAATTTAATGGAATTATCTTATGAACTGGGCATTTTTTTAGAAACTTATCCAAGTAAAATTTTGATTTAGTTTTTGTTTTATTTTGAATTTAAATTTCTTTTGTTTTGTTTTGTTTTGTTTTATTCTTCTGAATGTCGTTTCATTTTGATTTTGGAATTTTGTTTCATTTTGAATTTATGGTTTTGTTTTGTTTTTTACTTTAAGTCTCATGTTGTTAAGGGATGCTTCAAGAGTAAAATCTTGTGTGACTTTAAAAGCAAGTCGAATTCAAAAGAAAGTTGAAAAAAATTTGAAATTTAGGACCCAGTCTAAAAAAATTGGAAAGGGCTAATTTCAAAAAAAAAACTCATTGTGACCCTACTCACTTATCGCTACTAACCGAGCACCTAATACAGCCAAATAATATGTTGTTTAAAGTATACATTTTATGCTCATTTTTGGTGATATTATGCATTAAAGAAGGGTATTTTCATATTTTTGTTGTTGGTATATCAATTTTAGGCATTTGGAGCAAAAGTAGCAAAAATGACGAAATTTGGAGCAAAAATAGTGAATTTTGGGAATTCTGGTGCCTGATGCGCCAAGTTGGCGCTAGAAGTGTCATTTTATAGAGATTTGACACTTGAAGCACCAAAACCCAGAATAGTGTGGACTTAAGCAAGTTGGCGCTAGATGCGCCAGAACTAACGTTAGAGGCGACTTTTTGCAGATTAAGGCTGTTCATAACAAATTTTGCGTAAATTTTTAAAGAGACACTTGTTCTAAACACCCCCTGAAGTGATTTAATGCATCTAGACACTTTGGAAGGCTCTTTTACGATGGGATATGTTTTTTATCAATGGACATGTCTTTTGAATTCAAAAGGGTTGACTTTTGGATAGAATTTTGAAGGGAATTTTGAATTCTTTTTGGAAGGAGGCAACCTTTAATAGAAGAGAGGAGGAGGCAACCACCTTTAATAGAAGAGAGGTTTTGTGAAGTGAAATGTGTGGCATGTAAGGGGGGCGAAAGAGTGAGAGAGAGAGAGAGAGAGAGAGAGAGAGAGAGAGAAAGTCAAAGGCTCAGATATTTTCTTTAAGGATTGTAAGAGAAGAGGGAAGGTGAGACATTTCTTCTTCATTACACTTTTAAGAGAGAATTGAGAGTGCTTGTAAGGAGAGAAAGACTTGAAGAGAACTTTTAGGGATTTGCTTGGAAAGCAATATGAGATAAGTTGTGTCTTTTATTTATTTTGTTTTATAAACTTTTTTTCATATATGAAATCCGTGTTTTGACGTATCCTTCTCATGAATTCTAAGTAGTTTTTTTTATTATTCTCCCTACTTTGAGATAGGGTTTTGTGAAGAATTGATTTTATTTTATATGATTTTAAATGTCAATAATTTGTGATGATTTAAACTCTAATCCTTATTTACTTTTTGATTTGGCCAATCGAATTGTTAAAATATGTTGAGAAACATATGTTCCGAAAGGGTTATGATTTCTACAACATAGTGAGAATCACAATTGATTTCATCGGAGAGGATGTCATCCATGAAGTCGAGAGCAAATAAATAAGGAAATATATTTTGTTGGATGCAGAAATGAAGATTTTAAGGTGGCAGATTAAGCAGATTAAAATCCCCAATTTGTTAAAATCCCCAATTTGGTCCAGTTGATTGGAAACTGATGCGAGATTGTTAGCCCTCAGGTG